GGGGGGGGGAAGGGAGGGGTGTACTTGCGTACGGTCTCTCCGCAGGTGGGCTCTCTCTCTCACTTTTGTTGTCTCTCTCTCGTCTGGCCGTTTTCAGACACGCACACACACACACACACACAGACAGACGCCTGCCTCTGGAGCCTGCGGAGCCTGGTGCCTGGGAGGAGAGGGGAGAGTCGGTGTGCGTGCGCCTGCGCGTTCCGACAGGTAGAGGAGGCGCCTGTACGCGCGCGACGCGGCAAGGATGCGGGATCCCAGGGAGGGCAGGAGGCGCGGGAAGTCGAGCAGTGGGCGAGAGGGGAGCAGAAGGGGGCGTAGAAGGAGGGACATGACCGGCCTGGTCATTGGCCGGCCACTGGGAGGGTACCTGTAGAAGGGTCAGGACATGGACCCTTTGGCCCGGTCGGGGCCGCGATCCGCCGCACCGGATTCGGTGCACCTTGGCGGGAGGCGACCGGGCCGGGGGCCCGGCCGGGAGCATAGACCCAGGAGGCCGGCGGAGCACACGCCCCCGACCGTATCTCAATGCGTCCCTCTCTCGATCATGCGAGGATCTCCCCTGAAAGTTGGCAGCAAGCCCCTTCTGGCGCCACTACGCAGCCGGGCGGCTGGTCTGGCCCGGGCGCCGGTCTCATGGGCCGGGAGGTGCGGGAAAGGGGGCGCCCTCTTCGCCGATGAGGCGACTGCGAGCCACTGCCGGTGTTGTGGGCGTGGGGCTTGCGGACGGGCTGGGCGTGTTCGCCTGTCACGCCGTAAAAAAAAAAAAAAAAGGCGCCGAGACCGGGCCCCCGCTCCCGGCCGGCGACCGGGAGCCGGAAATCCGGTGCCAGGAGCGCCGGGGGAGAAAACGCGCGTGGGGGCGGGCGCCGGAGCCGGGGCCGGGGCAGAGCTCCCGCTTGATCAAACAGAAATTCTCGCGCAAAGGCATTCCGGGGGCCCTTCGAAACATATGCCGTTTCCGCGACTAGGGGCTCGGGGTGGCACTTGCCCCTTGGCACAGTGCTGCCGAGTCGGCGGCCGGGTGCGACTGCTCATGTGTGTCTGTGGGGGGGGGGGG